TGCTCAGCTGATTTGTTTTTGTATTTTTAGTAGAGTCAGGGTTTCACCATGTTGGTCAGGCTGATCTCGAACTCCTGACCTCATGATCTGCCCACCTTGGCCTCCCAAAGTTCTGGGATTACAGGCATGAGCCACGGAGCCCACCCTACTTCTTAGGGAGTTCTTAAGAATCACATTAGATCATAAAAGTAAAAGGATTTGAAACACACAGGCCATTGTATAAATGTAGTATCATTATTGTAATTTTCAGCATGCGTGAGGTCCAACATCTCAGTGACTAAATACTGGTGTTTGATAGAATTTGAAAAAAATATTAATATATTTTACTTTATTTATTTATTTTTTGAGACGGAGTTTCGCTCTTGTTACCCACGCTGGAGTGCAATGGCGCGATCTTGGCTCACCGCAACCTCCGCCTCCTGGGTTCAGGCAATTCTCCTGCCTCAGCCTCCCGAGTAGCTGGGACTACAGGCATGCGCTACCATGCCCAGCTAATTTTTTGTATCTTTAGCAGAGACGGGGTTTCACCATGTTGACCAGAATGGTCTCAATCTCTTGACCTCGTGATCCACCCGCCTCGGCCTCCCAAAGTGCTGGGATTACAGGCTTGAGCCACCCCGCCCGGCCAAACAATATATTTTAAAAGGCCAGGCAAATCAGGATGTTTCCCCTTAACACACTAGCAGAAGAAAGCTGAATGCACAGCCAGGTGCTGTGTCTATTGTCACTTCTGTCTTCTCGTTACAACCCAGTGGCACTGGCAACATTCTTATCATAAAGCCAATGGTTGTGTTCTTGATTTAATGCACTGTGTCATGTTTAAAGGACTTTCGTGCTAGCTTTTTTAAGTGGGAGAAAATTCACAATGTCAAGATGTCACTTCCAAAGTTAGTAAGCCTAGTCAGAAAGAACTCTTAAGTGGCGGGGGGTGGGGGGGGTAAAAAATCAATACTTTCTAGCTTTCATGGAATAATAGTCTATAATAGATAATGGGTTAAGGGTTTCCTTACAGTTTAGCAAATTTGCAGATAAACCAAACCCTTGAATTTCATTATGTGCAACAATGCTATCTTTGTCCAAAGCTATTTTGGTCATTGTAGCCCTATCTATTACATTAAAATAATGGAAATGATTTAAAAGTACAAGAAGAGATGCTTAGTTAATTAAATTATATACCTACAATGAAGCATATGTGCTTTTTAAAATGGTTACACAGATCGCATATATTATTAATACAGTGATGTTTATGACGTACTGTTAAGTGAAAAACTCAGGTTATAGGCTTTGTATAGTATGACACACATCCACATTTATGTTTTTAAAATACGTATCTACATGTTTGTGTGTGTGTGTGTGTGTGTGTATAAAAATCTGCTTCTTTTATAATTTTGAGACAATTTCAAATGTTTAGAAAAATTACCAGTATAGTACAAAGACCTTTCATCCTAAGCCATTTTTGAGTAAGTTGCTGATAGAGGGGCTTCAGATGAGCCACCCAGGGAGCTGTCTCAGTCCCTGGAGGTGGGGGGGACACAGGGGCTGATATTTGACTCTTGTTTCTCAGAACACTTAAGGAAGAATATTTTAATTATTATTCATATGGTAATTTTCTAACACACTTCCAAAGAAAGAGTAGCTTATACACAAACCCTAACATAACCTGTTATCTCAGAAGACACTGAGTTACCCTTGGGAAAAAAGAACGATTATATTCTATTTCTGTAACATTCCCTTTTACACTTGTATAACACCTATCAACATGACATTAGCAAAAATAAATTGCCCAGGGCACTTATTTCAATGTGACCTGAATTATTAAAATCTCCATTGCCATAGATCAGGTTTTTAACTTAGGTTTTAAAGATAATGGTTCTTTCTAGATTCACACAGATTTTTATACCATTTTCCCAGCTTCTGTTTTTTCATTTTATTTTATCCCCCTCGTTGTCCTAGAAACAGTACCGGAATTATTCACTTTCAGAAAACATTTTTGTATTGCTTACATGGCAAGTTCCTCCCATTATTTTGGAAAATAAATGAATTGGATGTTCTTTGAAAATAAAATAAAGCACAGGGAGAAAACCATTATAAGGAAATTATAAATTCTCAAGTTCGAAAAGAAAACTAGAGATTCAGGACAGTCAGCTACATTCTGTGCCAAGCCTGGGTCTCTGACCTTCTCCTCTGCGGGTGTGATCTGGAGAGCTGGTTTGCTTTTGGTATCCAACTCTTAGACCGGTATGGTTGTCAAAAAAGTCCACCCACGGGCAGATATGTTCAAATGCCACCTAGGAGGCCCACAGTGTACCTAGAGAGATGTGGTGGTGGGATAGGCAGGAAGACTTCTGGGAGGTGAAGTGCTGTCTCTCTTGAGATACCCACATAAATGTTGAAAGAGACATCCTTCAGTGTAGACAAGAGGAAGAAAAGGTATTCTGAGCTTCTGCTACGTTCTGCAACTCACACTCTCAAAAAAAAAAAAAGCAGCCCAAACCTCTTCATGCATCCAAGGAAGAGGAGACAGTTAAATCATCAATTGGATAACCATCTCTTGACACCATTTAAACTAAAATGTCTCCAGGATTGAAGTCAAATACCAGGTCTTAGTTTTCTCAATCTCTTCGTCAGGTTTCAGTGCAATTTCAAGGACTTCCTTTTGCTGCACGAGTACCACTTGTCTCATCAGCAAACAGTCCTTGACTTTAAACAGCTCGTATATTCTGGTTTTCAGTATATCTAAACCCTTCTTTTGGTTTTAAAAATGCAAAAATTAATGCCAATCTGGCTGCTTTAGGATCACCAAAACAAAACAAGTCTGCACTTGTGAACACTTCCAGCCATTGATGCATTATCTGTAGATACTGAGCAGTGATGAAAACAAGAACACCTGAGTGGTATTCCCGGCTTTGCCCATAACTAGCTGTGTGGCTTTAGGGAAGTCACATGACTCTGTGCCTGCGTTACCAGAAAAATGCTAACGTCTTTTCTGTCCATAATAATTCTAGGTAATGGAACTATAGACTTTAACAAATGCATGACCATAAAATGGTTTTTAAAAAAATCAAAGAGGTCACTTATGTACCACAACCATAATTTATCTATGACAAGAAGACATTTTTACAGTGAAATGGTAACAGTGACAGTAGTTGCTATTTTACCATGTTGAAAACAATTATTCAGTTGCTTTGCTTTTGAATGAAAAGATCCTTCCTTTCCCCACCCCATTCCCCCTCAGTGAGATCCTATGTTCCTTTAAGACAGGAAGGGTTTTTTTCTTTTCTTTTCTTTTCTTTTTTAACTCAGAGTGCTATCAGGGAGAAAAAAAAAATCCAGTGGCAACATCATCAAGAGCTCCTGGGGCTCTCTGCAAGAAATATTTCAGGATATCAGATTTCTGAGATTGAAGAGTATCAAATGAATCTTGGAATCAAGGTAATAAATGTTGTATTTGGACAGAAATCTCTAGGGAAAAAAAATAAGGGGAAATTGCTGGCTTGATTTTGCAGGAAAATTACCAAGCAGACTGAAGAATAAAAGGGCATACATTCCCAGAAAAAAAAATACCATGTGGGTAAATAGGGGCCAGTGTTCTGAGTCATCCAGGCAAGAAACCCAGAAAGGCAGAAGCAGCTGGAATGGAAATGTTACCGTAGAGAAGGATGAGGGGAAAGGGTCATCACCTGCCACATGCTCCTTCCTAAGGTCCAGGGCCTGCTACTCAGGGCCCACCGAAGAGATCCCCACTGTGATGGTGAATTATATGTGTCAACTTCACTGGGCCACAGCATGCCCAGACATTTTGACAAACGTTTTTCTGGGTGTTTCTGTGATGAGATTAACATTTGGATCAGTAGCCTGAGTACAGCAGATTCATGTGAATGGGCCTCATGCAATCGGCTGAAGACCTGAATGGAATAAAAAGACTGAGACAACAAGAACTCCACCTGTCTGACTGCCTGTGAACTGGGACATTGGATTTTTCTTGCCTTTAAACTTGAACTGAAACGTCGGCATTTCCTGGGTCTCAAGCCTGCTGGCCTTCAGGCTGGAGCTCACACCATCAGCTCTCCTGATTCTCACACCAAGAATGGAGTTGCACCATCTGTTCTTCCGGATCTGCAGCTTGCCAAGTGCAGACCTTGTGACTTCTCAGCCTCCATAATCATGTGAGACGTGAGCTGATTTCTTATAACAAATATCTTTTATATGTGTATGTGATGTTGCAATATATATATCTGATCTTTTCCCCAGTTTCCTGACATACAGCTCCTAAAATCCTTTGAATCTCTGGAGTCATAAGAGTATTTTGTGTGCGTTAGTGAGATAAGTAGTCAGCTGGGAACTCCAGAGAGAATTAGGATGGGAGGTGGTTGCCACGGGAACCAGCCAAGTGTTAGAGTTTGGGACTTTCAGTCCCTCACTCCACCTCTGGGAAGGGGAGAGGCGCTGAAGATTGAGTTGATCACCAGTGGCCAATGATATAATCAGTCATGCTACATAACAAAGTTTCTATGAAAACCCAGAAGTACTGAGTTTGGGGGTCTTCCAGGTTGGTGAACGAAAACTCATCCACATACCAGGAGGTTGGCTCACAACTACTGCACGGGGACAGAAGAACGGACCCTTCCAAATCATGTTCTCTCTATCCCTTCATCTGGCTGCTCCTTTGTATCCTTTAAAATAGCCTTTATAATACACAGGAAATGGTTAGAATGTCTTCCTGTGTTCTGTGAACCACCCTACAAATTAATTACACCTGAGGAAGGGGTCATGGGCACCCCAATTTACAGCCTGTTGGTCAGAAGTTCTGGAAGTCCAGGACTCACGACTGAAGCCTGAAGGACAGAGCAGTCCTAAGGGACTGAGCTCTCGCCCTGTGGGATCTCCTCGCAGGTAGACAGGGAGTGTCAGAACTAAACTGGAACAAACCCAGCTGGTGCCTGCTGCACAACTGCTAGCTTACTGTCCGACCTACCCTCTGCGGGAGGACTGAGCTCGTTCGGAAAAAACCAGACCGCAGGTTAGAAGAAAATCCTTAAGTTCAGGCTTTATTGAGAGGAAAGAGCCTCCGGGCGGACCAGCCGGGAAGGAGCGGAAAATGGCCGCGCCGCTCAGAGGGGCAGGGTTCTTTTATAGGGGGGCTGAAGGGCTGAGGAAGCTGAGAGAGCCGAGGTGGTGGGCAACGTTTGGTCAGTTTGAACCGCTGGGCAGGAAGCTGGGCGGCGGGAAGCTGGGGAGTGCTGATGAGGCAGAAGCCGGGCGGCGGGAAGCTGGGGAGTGCTGGTGAGGCAGAAGCCGGGCGGCGGGAAGCTGGGGAGTGCTGATGAGGAAGAAGCCGGGCGGCGGGAAGCTGGGGGGAGCTGATGAGGCAGAAGCCGGGCGGCGGGAAGCTGGGGAGTGCTGGTGAGGCAGAAGCCGGGCGGCGGGAAGCTGGGGAGTGCTGATGAGGCAGAAGCCGGGCGGCGGGAAGCTGGGGAGTGCTGGTGAGGCAGAAGCCGGGCGGCGGGAAGCTGGGGAGTGCTGGTGAGGCAGAAGCCGGGCGGCGGGAAGCTGGGGAGTGCTGGTGAGGCAGAAGCCGGGCGGCGGGAAGCTGGGGAGTGCTGGTGAGGCAGAAGCCGGGCGGCGGGAAGCTGGGGAGAGCTGGTGAGGCCGAAGCCGGGCGGCGGGAAGCTGGGGAGTGCTGGTGAGGCCGAAGCCGGGCGGCGGGAAGCTGGGGAGTGCTGGTGAGGCCGAAGCCGGGCGGCGGGAAGCTGGGGAGAGCTGGTGAGGCAGAAGCCGGGCGGCGGGAAGCTGGGGAGAGCTGGTGAGGCAGAAGCCGGGCGGCGGGAAGCTGGGGAGAGCTGGTGAGGCAGAAGCCCGGCGGCGGGAAGCTGGGGAGTGCTGGTGAGGCAGAAGCCGGGCGGCGGGAAGCTGGGGAGAGCTGGTGAGGCAGAAGCCGGGCGGGAAGGCTAGGGCGGTATGTAGAGTGAGAGATAAGGGAGCCTCTTTGTGGGGGAGGGAAAGAGAGTTCTCACGGTAGGGGCAGAGTTTTCCAAACATTCCCAACTCCTTAAAAGAAAAGAAAAAGAGGGGTCAGGGGCGTCGGTTGTCTCTCTGGCTACTTCCTGCTGACAAGGGTCGATGGGGGGTTCTGAAGAGGTCTCTTTTCCTAAGGAGCCTGGGTGTTCGGGGAGAGGTCTGCTTCCAGCACTTGTTCAGGGTAGGGTTGGAGCAGCATCTGGTGGATGGTGACTCGAGTTAGTTCTTGAAAGCGCCGCTGTAGGAACTGTAGAAAGCAAGGAGCGATAAGTAAGATTAGGCAAACGGCTACTAGGGGCCCAAGCAACGGGGACAAGAGGGTATACATAGAGGAAGACCACCACGCTGTGGCTTCAGCCGAGAACTTCTGACTCTGCAGGTTAGTTTTGAGTTTCTGGAGGCTCTCGATTCGGGTTTCTACTAGGCCGGATTCATTGATGTAGTAACAGCACTCTTCTTGTAGGAAGATACAGGTCCCTCCTCGTTCAGCAGTGAGCAGGTCTAGGGCTCTTTGGTTCTGCAAGGCAACTTGGGCAACTGAGGTGATCTGTCGTTGGAGTGATGCTAAAGACTCAGTAGAGTCATCAATAGCTGCTTGGAATTGTGAGGTCAGTCGGGCTATGGCCAGGTGAGAGTGGACTAGTGCCCCTCCTCCTAATCCTGCTGCAAGTGCTGAACCAGCAAGGGAGACCCCAACGGCAATGGGTAGGAAGGCAGCTCATTGGGTGCGGCAATGGGGAGTTTGCAGCATCTGGAATTCGGCTGGGGAATATATAGTGAGTCGAGGGACTAGGGTTACTGGGAGGCATAAAAGAGATGAGGAAAGACCAATGTAGAGAGTTTTTGTTAAGGTCCTGTTACACCAAAAAAACGTTCCTCGTGGGGCTGTTATATTAGTGGTTACTAGTATGGTTCTGTTACAGCTAGGGAAGTTTCGGCCTAGGGAATAGCATATTGGTAGCTGCGTGAAGTCAGGTGGAGTATAGAGATTTACCTCCCTGATGGGGGAGAAGGGAGAAGTTGTGGGTGAAGAATTGAGAGGGATAGGAAAGGGAACTGCCACAAAAGGGGTCTGACCCAAAGAGGCACACATGAGGCATGAGGTTAGGTCGGTCAATCCTGAGATGTTAGCTAATTTGATTCCTTCTTTGAGGAAGGTTAGCCAGGAAAAGGGAGACGAGTGTGGTCGCAGTTGGGTGATTAGAGATTGTTCTTGTTGGTTAATAGTGGAGTGGATTTGGTGGGCTGTACGTACGTATGCCCGCCAGATGTACAGGTGGGAAGAGGGATATTTGGTATCTATGTGGTCATACACGGCAGCTTTCTTGGGGCTTTTCCACCGGTTATCCCAGGGGTCAAGTATGAGAAGAAGTACCGTGTAGAACCGACAATGGTGTTTCCTTCTTCATCTACGTCTGGGATGATTTTGAGCTGAGATTGAGCAGGTACTGTGAACTTGATAGCTAAATGTAGTCGACAGCCCATCCAAGTACATCCCATGCAGGAGCGCCAAGGAGTATCATTGCATGCTCCTGATGGTTGGTCATGGTTGAAGCACATGAGAGGTTTAGTATGGACGTTGCGGAATTTGGTGAAGTTCAGATATATGGCACTGTTGCATCCGGCTGCAGGGCAGTCGGAAGTTGTAAGAAGATGGTTGTGGCTGTATGGGGGGGTATTACAGATGAAGGTGGTTTTTGTATAGTTTTCAGTCAGGTAGAATCTCCAAACGTAAGGAGTGGGACTGTTAGGCCTTAGTAAATTTGATAGATAGAATTGGAAGGGTAAGTTGGGATTAGGCAGGGCTAGGCTGGTGGAGGTACAAAGGGCGTTAAGCAGTGACTTGAACGCCCGGTTGACAGAACCTGGTGAGGAGAGTGGTCCCTCGGGGGCTTCTGCAGCAGCATGGTATAGGGGTTTGGCTAGCAAAGCATAATTAGGTACCCAGTGGTGAAAAAACCCTACTAGTCCTAGGAAGGAGAGGATTTCTTTCACTGACTCCGGGGCCTGGAGCACCTTTAAGGCTTGTAGTCGGTCGATTGTGATGGACCGTCACCCAGGCATGAGCTGTATACCTAGGTAGGTGATGGTGGGTGAGGCTATTTGTGCTTTGGTTGGTGACACCTGGTATCCTTTATCTCCTAGGAAATTGAGTAGCGTGGTGGTGGCCTGGATGCACTCCTGGCGGGTGGGAGAGCAGATAAGAAGGTCATCTACGTACTGGAGGAGGTGAGAGGGCTTGAGGTTGCAGTGGAGTAGGTCAGTGGCGAGTGCCTGGCCGAATAGGTGCGGGCTGTCTCGGAAGCCCTGTGGAAGGACTGTCCAGGCCAGTTGTAGGGACATGTTCGTAAGGGGATCATCCCAAGTGAAGGCAAAGATAAAGTAGGAGTTGGGGTGTAGAGGTATAGTAAAGAAGGCATCCTTTAGGTCTAAGACTGAGAAACAGGTGGTCCCTGGGGGAATGTTAGAGAGAATGGTGTATGGGTTGGGGACAACTGGATGTGTGGGAATTACGGCTTCATTGATTAAGCGCAAGTCCTGGACGAGTCTATATTGTCCTGAGGGTTTTCCTACTGGGATGATGGGGGTATTACATGGGGAGTTAATGGGAATTAGGAGGCCTTGACCTTTTAGTTTCTCTATGATGGGTCGGATACCCATACGGTGGGCTTTAGAGATGGGAAATTGAGGGCGGGAGAGAAAATGAGGCAAGGAGTCTTTAAGGCGGACCTGAACTGGCTGGTCGTGGGTAGCTACAGACGGATTGTTAATGTCCCAGACCTGAGGGTGGACTCCGGGGAGGAGTTCGGATAAGGCTTTTTGGGGTTCGGTATCTGAGGTGAGGGCTAGGAGAAAGAGGCTGTGTGGGCTGGCGATGGGGAAGGTTATGACGGCCTTTAACTTTGAAAGGATGTCTCGTCCTAGGAGGGGTACTGGGCAGGTGGGGATTACTAAAAAAGAGTGGGTAAATGGAGTGGAGTTATATGAGCACATGAGTGGTGGGGTTTGGTAGGGGATACTCAGGGTCCCATCTATTCCCATGACCGAGACCTGGGAAGGGGTGAGACGGCCAGAATAGGAAGGAAGTGCGGAGTAGGTAGCCCTCGTGTCAAGCAAGAAGGAGATGCTTTTACCTGCTACCTGAAGAGTGACCCTTGGCTCGGCGAGGGTAACCAGAGTCAGAAAGCCAGGGCCCCGCTAGTCGTCTAGCAGCCCTAGTAGACCGGGGAATGGAGCTCCCTCAGAGGTCGGTTCCTGGCAAGCAGGCTCCTCCCTACCGAGGGTGACTGCCGGCTGCATAACGCCAGTGTGTCTGTTTTGAGGAACCGACACCCTGGGGAAGCAGGGGCAGTCTGACTTCCAGTGTCCCGGGAGGTGGCAGATAGGGCAAGGCTTAGTTGGTGGCCGTGGTTGTGGACAGGCTCGGGACCAGTGTCCTTCCTTTCCACATTTGAAACATGCCCCCGGAGGGGCATGGGTTTCAGCCTTGGGCTTCTGGTTCCCTGCCGGCCTTAGGGCAGCCACTAGGGCTTGGGTCTGGAGGGCAGCCTTCTGCTTCATGCGAGTTTGGCGGGCAGCCTCAGCCGCATCTTCCCTGGCATTGAATACTTTAAAGGCCATTTTTACCAGGTCTTGGATGGGAGTCTCTGGCCCCTCTTCTGCTTTCTTTAGTTTCTTTCTTATGTCGGGTGCTGATTGGGAGATAAAGTGGGAGGCTAATACAGTGGCCCCGTTTTGGGAGGCTGGATCTAACCGAGTGTACCGGACTAGGGCTTCTTGTAAGCGGGCGAGAAAGAGGGCGGGATTCTCATCAGGTAGTTGGGTGATTTCTCTCAGTTTATCATAGTTTACAACTTTGTTAGATACAGCATCCATTCCCCTGAGGAGGTATCTAATCATGCGGTCCCTCTTGGGTATGTCAGACCCTCGATTAGCCTGATAGTCCCATTGGGGGTCTTCACCTGGGATTGCTTCGGGGCCTAAGGGGATCTGGTTATCTATAGCATGATCTTTATCTGCTTGGTTTCTGGCTGCAGCTAGGATGCGCTCGTGCTCCTCTACAGTGAGGGTAGAGGAGCAGATAACGTGAATATCATGCCAAGTGAGGCTATAGGCTTGAGTGAGGTATTGGAATTCCTTAATATAGGTGGATGGGTTGGCTGAGAAGGATCCTAAACGTTTCTCAATTTGGGACAGGTCTTGGAGTGAGAAAGGAACATGGACCCTGACTAAGCCTTCAGCACCCGCTACTTCTCGGAGTGGGACCAGGATAGCTGGTTGGTGAGAGCAGGTGTGGGCCGCCACCGGAGAGGCAAGAGGAAGTGCGGCCTCTGAGGGAGGGGGCTCGGAGGGAGTAGAGGAAGAGCGAGGCATGGCCTCTGAGGTAGGAGGTGCAGAGGGAGTGGGGGGAGAGCGTGCTGTTGATGGCGACTGGTTGCTGAGATTGGCAGGAGAGGACAGATGTTCAGGCAGATCCTCCAGTGAGGAGTAGGGAGGGGGAGAGGTAGTGGAGGAAGATTTACGAGGGGTACAAGCTAAGAGGATTTGGTAGGTGGAGCAGGAAGAACATAGGTTGGGGTGGGTACGGAGGTCCCAAAAAGCCTGAATGTAAGGAATTTCATTGTCCTTGCCCGTGCGGCGACAAAAATCGTCGAGATCTCAGAGAGTACTGAAATCGAAAGTGCCAGTCGGGGGCCAATGTGACTGGTTACTGAGTTTGTATTGGGGCCAAGCCACCTGGGACAGGAAGACAAGCTTTTTCTTTCTGAGGGTTTGGGAGTATCCCAATTTGGTAAAATTTCGCAGCAAGCACCCAAGGGGGGTGCTGGGAGGCATTTTGGACTCCGAATTTCCCATGGCAGGCGCAGCTACAGACCCTCTGGCGCGGATGGGCAGATGCAAAGAAAAGGCGTCCCCTTTTGTTGCAAATTCCCCGGAGTACAGTTAAGTACGGTTAGGGAAGTGGCCAGAGGGGCGTCCCCTGTCTGGCAGCTACCCCTTGGGAAGGCTCCTGGAGCCGGAACGGAGGACTTCCTCGGCTCAGCCGAGACTAGGTGAGGAGTCCATGCGGAACGCTGGAGGGAGGCAACTGCCCCTTGCCGTAGGAGGAGGAGACAGGAAGGGGTGGGTAAAGCGAAAAAAACTTGGCTTACCTTAATCGGAGTGTGGAGATGGCAGGGCCAGTGTTGGGTAGGTTGGGAGGGGGGCCGTGGCTGGGCCAACGGCCCCTCCCTCCTGGGTTTCGGCACCACTTGTCTGACCTACCCTCTGTGGGAGGACTGAGCTCGTTCGGAAAAAACCGGACCGCAGGTTAGAAGAAAATCCTTAAGTTCAGGCTATATTGAGAGGAAAGAGCCTCCAGGCGGACCAGCTGGGAAGGAGAGGAAAATGGCCGCGCCGCTCAGAGGGGCAGGGTTCTTTTATAGGGGGGCTGAAGGGCTGGGGAAACTGAGAGAGCCAAGGTGGTGGGCAACGTTTGGTCAGTTTGAACTGCTGGGCAGGAAGCTGGGCGGCGGGAAGCTGGGGAGTGCTGATGAGGCAGAAGCCGGGCGGGAGGTGGCTGCGGTGGCGGGAGGGCTAGGGCGGTATGTAGAGTGAGAGATAAGGGAGCCTCTTTGTGGGGGAGGGAAAGAGAGCTTTCACGGTAGGGGCAGAGTTTTCCAAACACTTACTTGTTGGGTGTAGCCAAGGGGGCGGGGGGAACCACACGCATTTGGTCACAGGAGCATTCTGTATTGTGACACTAGGGTAGGAAAAGCGGTTTGTTTTTTCAATTCTTTATATATCTATGCCTATATGATCTATCTGTAGCTCTCTACATAGACATATATACAAATATCTCTTGTCAGTTCTGTTTCTCTGAGAACGCTGACTCATGTACTCATATTCAAGTATCTTCAGATACAAGAAGAGCTATCCATTCCTTAAGGCAGAGAAAAACATTTACTGATATACTGAAAAGAAAGTAACCCACTGTGTGGCCCGTGTCATAGAGAGACACACATCTGTTCACATTCAAAAGCTCATCTTGACTGGGCTCAGTTGCTCACACCTGTAATCCCAGCACTTTGGGAAGCCAAGGGGAGTAGATCACTTAAGGTCAGGAGCTCGAGAGCAGCCTGGCCAATATGGTGAAATTTTTAGTGTCTACTAAAAATACAAAAATTAGCCAGGTGTGGTGGCATGAGCCTGTAGTCACAGCTACCTGGGAGGCTGAGGCAAGAGAATTGCTCGAACCTGGGAAGTGGAGGTTGCAGTGAGCCAAGATTGTGCTGTTGCACTCCAGCCTAGGTGTTGCTATGAGACTCTGTCTCAAAACAAACAAACAAACAAACAAAAACACAAGTTCATCTGGGCACCTAACTGGAAAGGGAGGACTAGGACAGTGAATCCACGGACATTGTTATTAGCCATGGAGAGCAGGTGTGCTGTGGTGGGAGGGGCGTGGGGAGGAGGCAGAGGGAGAGGAATGCAGGACTGACACATACCCCTCATCTCTGCCAGGCATGGCTAGCTCCTCGACATGCAGAATCCTGACAGCAATTCTGTGAGGCTGCTGCTGAATTTTTATTTCTTTAGGGCAACTTAGAAAGTCATGTAATGACACTAGAAAATCATATAATCACAGTGATTTCTTTTTAAAGGTGAGTCAGGAAAATAAGACAAGGAGAAATTAAGACTACAAGAAAATAAGATGGATCTAGGGGTGAAGTTTGTCTACAAAATGCAAATTGTAATATCCTGTGCCCAAGCCAGAAACAGCACAGAGTGGCTAGTCACGTTCTAGCATCCAGTACAAACAGGGGAGCAAGATCAAGTTTGTGACGTATCGTGTTCAGAGGACAATGGCAAGGAAAACAAAGCTCTCCCGGAACTGATACCAGAGAGGCATTTCTCCCAAGTGTCCTTGGAAAGAGAGCCCAGTAGGCTGTCATGAGCAAGAGCATTCCCACCGAAGTTCCAGGGAGCAGCTTCACAGGGCCGCTTCACCTCATGTCCTTGGCAAATACAATAACGCCAAGTGCAAGTCAGCAAAAACACTTATATGGGAAGCAAAAAACCACTGGCCTGACTACACCGCTTTCCAAGGGATTCTTCATCCCAAGAGTAGATTTTAGAGTATCTGCAGCAGAGGTTCTTAATGGGGCATTTTGGACATTTGCACTGTAGTTTTGGGCTGTCTTAATGGGAGGGTTCCCCTGGCAGCTAGAGGGCAGAGCCCAGGGACGATTAACACCCTGCAGAGGGCAGATAGTGCACATGATACATAACTGCCCCATGTCCAAGGAAGGATTGTTCCATATCCCTCATGGCTTCCTTTTTTTTTTTTTTTGAGACAGAGGCTTGCTGCTGTTGCCCAGACTAGAGTGCAGTGGTGCAATCTCATCAGCTCACTGAAACCTCTGCCTACCAGGCTCAAGCTATTCTCCTGCCTCACCTCCTGAGTAGCTGGGATTACAGGTGCCCACCACTGTGCTGGGCTATTTTTGTACTTTTTAGTAGAGACAGGGTTTTGCCATGTTGGCTAGGCTGGTCTTGAATTCCTGACCTCAGGTGATCCGCCCATCTCAGCCTCCTAAACTGTTGGGATTACAGGTATGAGCCACTGCACCCAGCCCTTCATGGCTTTTTAAATACAATGTTGGATGTTAGTGTAGATCAAAAACTTTTCATAACACATTATTATACACTGCTGGTGGGGAGGCAAAATGGTGCAACTTCTAAATGTTTGCCCAGTGATCCCACTTCTAGAATCCACTCTTACGTTACCCCTCCACAAATACAAAATAGTATGTATACAGGCTTATTAAGGGCAGCATGTGTTGTAATTGTAAAAAGACTGGAAGCAATACAAATGTCCATAAATGGGTCACTGGTTGAATAAACTAAAGTGCATCTACACAATACAATAGGATGTCACCATTAAGAAAAGAATTAGGTAGATTCATATGGACAGACTTCAAGAGGTACATAACATCTAAGGTATGGTGTTTCTTAAAGTATTTTTTTAATGTTGAGGGTGAAAAATAAGTAAATATATGTTATTAAGAACCAAAATTGTTGGCTTACAAAATAATAAAGGAGAAATCTCTGCAATGTTTCATTTGAATTGGAATAGCATATAAACTCAATTAGAAAAAAAATACATACAGCCTTAGCTCTGTCCATGGAATTAGAGATCCTTGGATAAATGATTGATTCCAATTATAAGAAAGGAAAAGCAAATTTGTTTACAAAAAGGAATGGCTGATGTGTAAAAAAAAGATCAATGTCATAGGAGAAAAAAGGTGAAGGGATTATTCTAAATTAAAAGAAACTTGTAAAACATAATAAATATAATGGGTGAATGCTAATTGGATTCTGATTTTTAAAAAACAGCTATGAAAATAAAGCTTGAGTCAACTGGAGAAATTTGTGCATGGACTAGATATCAGGTGGTATTAGGAAATTGTTAATTTTCTTAGATGTTATAATGGTATCACAAATATGTAGACAATGTCATTTTTAGAAGCTACACAGTGAAATAAATTGTGATATCTTTCATCATTTTCAAAGGATTCTGGAAAAACAATGGTTGAATTTGTGTTCAACCTTTTTGGATATGTACCAGTATTTATTGTGCTATTCTTTCAACTCTTCTGTAGTTCTGAAAATTTTCATAATAAAAACATCAAAAGTTTTCCAATTTTTTTGAACATAGATCCTTACTCTCTTTTGCACACAAGCCCAAAAAATTTTGGCATAGTTTTTGATCAGTGAATTTTCCAGTAATCCACCTACTATATGATTTAAGGGAGGCTTTTATTCAGTTTTGTTTGGAATATAACCAATAGTATTCACCATTCCACATACATACGTCTACCCACTTGTGTTCATAGCTGCCACACATTCATGCTGACAGGTGAAGAGTCTGACAACTTTCTTTTGTCTTCTAGAATGATTGTGCTGAGCCTTTAATACTTACTGAAATGCATGAGAGTGCATTATAAATTAAGCTTTTATCTCTTCTTTATATTCCAGTTAGAGTATTATTTTTGTGTTTTTAAAAATTGTGTTTGTAGATAGATTATGTTTCTCCTGAATTGTATTTTCAAACAGTAAAAGAAGTCATTAAAGAATACTGGCATCAAAAGGTGCTCAGATAGGGTGGAGAATTATTTCCCCAAGGAATGGCTGCCAAACACATCCTTCAGGCCAAAGGACACAGGCCAGACATTGAGCGGCAGCCCCATATAGGGTACATCCTTCAGGGAGCTGCCCAACCGTTTATAAAGAAGCCTGACCCCAACAATAGATGTTGCTTGCATGCAAGCTAACATCCCCACTCCCTTACGTTTGTCATAAAAAATAGAGAAGACAACGAGAGACATATATTTAAGTCCCAGACATTTCCATTTGAGGTTTGATTTTTGGCCTTTGTGAGAAGAAATTGGACAAGGTGCTTTTCCTTTTTTTAATAGCATTTCAAGAATTGTATGCTATCTCTGATAATAATTACAGAAATTACCTTTTTCTGAACCAAAATTGAAATGTGGCTTGAAAATGAATCATTTATGACTTAAGAAGATATTAATTAAAAAAGCTTTACAATAGTACAGAAATGAAGCATATCTAGTTAGACCATTAATGAGTATTTTTTATTGAAAAGAAGAAAATTTCACTACCTACTTGTTCCAGGAAATACAGGACAAGCATTGCTGTAAAACACTGAACTAAAAATATAGAAGGGCTGGGCATGGTGGCTCATGCCTGTAATCCCAGCACTTTTGGGAGGCTGAAGTGGGTGGATCTCGAGGTCAGGAGTTCAAGACCAGTCAGGCCAAGATGGTGAAACCCTATATCTACTAAAAATACAAAAATTAGCAGGGCACAGTGGCAGTTGCCTGTAATTCCAGCTACTCAGGAGGCTGAGACAGGAGAATCACTTGAATCCAGGAGGCAAAGTTTGCAGTGAGCCAAGATTTTTCCACTGCACTCTAGCCTAGGCAACAGAGCAAGACTCCATCTCAAAGAAAAAAAAAGTACAGAAGAGAACAATATGTATTCATTCATTCATTCATTCATTCAGAGAGAGAGAGAGTGTGTGTGTGTGTGTGTGTGTGTGTGTGATATGTGCCAGGCCCTGGACTAGGTGTTAAGGGCAAAGTCATGAGAGGCAATATGTGTCCTCAAGGAGCTTTTAGATTAATGGAAAAATAGGGTTAGTTAACATCCTGCCATAGGGTATGTGTGCCAGGGAGGGGTCAGAATGGGAGAAGAGACAGACATGCTTGGGCATCAGCAATGGGTGAAGCCATTACAGAAAAAGCTGCTTTTGTGGGGAGAGAGAAAAGCAAAACCCCTCATGAAGCACGGTCATTGTAGTAATAAGAGGAAAGTGAAAGGTATCCTCTTAACATATAATACAACGCCAGACCTAGAGAATTCCTCAAGAAAAGGCAGAAAGAAAATCCTGCATGGGTGATTTCTACTTAACAGAAGGTAGCACTGTAGAATAACAGTATAAAGTCCAGGCTGTTTAAAGTGCAGAAGACACCGATTTTCTGTTTTTACTTATTTATTTATTCTCGATCAG